AGAGAGAGAGAGAGAGAGAATGAATATGAATTATTCCAGGGTCCATTAATCAGGGATCATTCATTGTATTTCATTGTTGTGCCTCTTTACTTTCTACTGAACTGTCTCTTCTCTTTCAAATAAAACAAGGAATATTCTTTCTTTTGGTATCAGCGATTGAACCCAGGGATACTTAACCACTGATTCACATCCCCAACCCTTTTTATATTTTTGTTAGAGACAGGGTCTCACTGAATTGCTTAGGGCCTTGCTAATCTGCTGAGGCTGGCTTTGAACTCATGATCCTCTTTGGGGTTCTGTCCTAGCCCTGTTGCTTTCTATTGCTTGTGCTTTCCCTGGGTGATTTTATACTTTCCTGGGGGGGCTTTAGTTACCAACTATATGCCACAGACCCCTAACTGCCAGCCCTTTTCTCTATTTTCAGTTCCAAATATTCAATGACCTCCCCGAAGCCTGAATCCATGTGGAAGTCTCACAGGCACCTTGAAGCAATATGTCCAGAAAAGAACTGATTATCTCCCCACCACCTGCTCCTTCTGTTGTGCTCCCTGTCTCAAAAAATGGCACCTCTCATTCATCCTGTTTCCTGAGACAGATACCTAGAAGTTATCTTTGACACATCCCTTTGACATCATCCATGACATATCTAATCAATCACCAAGTCTCACTGATTTTATCTTCTTAGTGTCTCTGGAATCCATCTACTTCATTCTATTCTCACCACCTCCCTCATTTAGGCTGCCATCATCTCTCCCAGGAAGATTTCAGCAACCTCATAATCCTTTTTTTCCAGCCTCCAGCTGTGCTCCATTCTAATCTATTCTCCACCCTGGGCTCTGAGTGATTTTCTAAAAATACAAATCTGACCATGCTACAGCCCTGCTTAACATTTTTCAGTAGTTTCCCACAACCCTTGGGATAAAGTCTGAATGCTGTAAGTTGGCCTGTAAGCTGGGGTGAGAGTCAAGATATTTTATAGCTGGTAGGGTACAAACACTGACCCCAGTTACAAAGGATGTCAGCTAGTTCACCTGACTAGCATGTGCTGACTGAATAATGGCTTCCTATAGAGCTCCATACAGTTTCTCTGCCCGTGCCACTCTTCCCCTAAGTCACACTGACTTTGTTTTGGTTCCCCAAATGTACCATCAAACATGTAGTTAGTGGGCCGGGGTTGTGGCTCAATTGTGGAGCACTTGCCTTGCACATGTGAGGCACTGGGTTAGATCCTCAGCACCACATAAAATGAATAAAGGTATTGCATTTATGTACAACTTTAAAAAAATGTAAAAAACAAAACAAACTTAGTTAGTTACCTTTGTCTAAAAAATTCTTTCCTGTGTTTTACATCACCATTCCACCCCATCCCTACCCCACAGAGTTGTCCTTCAGGGGACTGGCCATTATAATGGCCCTGGACTGTGACAGTGGGAACGTCCATTAAGGAAAACTAGTCTGGATCACAATTCTCTGTAATTTCTCCTTCCACTTTGGTAGAGAGTCCTGAGGAGGTCCAATGGGGCTAGCAAACTCTCAGAAGTGAAGAATTGACTTTTGATCATTTGTGAGGACAAGGAAGTGAGGAAAAGGGGGGAACATTCTTTCTTTAGCTTCCAGTATCACTCCTGCCAATTTAAATATAAATAACCTTTCCCAACTCTTTGAACAGACATCTTTACCCTAAGATTGAGCCTATCAGACATGAAATAGTTGCTGGGTTTTTATCAGTTAATCAATTCCTTTGCTTCCAGTCAACCTTGAGGTTAGGTTGGATGTCCTTGAGAAATAGAGGGGTATATTTTGCAGGAAAGAGTTTGGAAGGCAAATTAGGCATGGAGAGTATCTCTGGAGAGCCAGAGATCAGCAAGTAGGCACTGGGCATATAAAATCCAAGGCTGTGGTCTCAAACCTAGTTAGAACCACCTGGGAATCTTTTAAAATTACCATTGCCCAGGGCCTACAATGGAGCTATTAAATCATGATATGGGTGGGGGTGTGGGGGGTAGAACTCAGGCATCAATATTTTTTTTTACAAAGCACCTCAAATGACTCTTTGTGCCATCGGGATTGAGAACTCAACTGGGTACAGGGAAACGGGAACGCACAGGCATGTGTGCACAATTTTTGGCTCCAGCCTGAAATACCAAACACTCATGACAGACATGGGAGTTGGAAGAACAGATTAGTATGCTTAAAGAAGCATTGTGGACTGAGAGTTTCATAGAGAAGGTAAAATTCATAGACTGACAAAAGGGGGGGGGGAAGCTGGATAATGCCAAGTGTGATAGAGTAGGGTAGGGGAGGTAGAGAATACCAGAGTTCACTGTTAATGTCCAGGAAGAGATTGACTATGTGGTTGGCAGACACCAGAGCCCTTGCATGCAGGATAGGAAGCACATGCCCCACATGGATGCTATAGTGCATAAGATCCAGAGATACATTAACCACATCCCTACCACCCTGCCCCATGCAGTGACCTGTGACATTAAATTCAGAAACTACCTTATTGCAAAGGGCACAACCATAATAACATTGCTGACTTCTATGCTGCATAATGACAAAATTCTCCAGCCTGGCAATGTTTAACCCAGGCCACTTTCTGGATGAGAGTGACAACTTTAAGATAAGTGATTATTTCAGCCTTTTTCAACAGGAAAATGGATGTGGTTGGGAGAGAGACTGGCCCACATGGAGTTGTTTCTGTTCCTAACTACCATTTTACAGAACTTTAACCTGAAATTTTGTTTGTCCCAAAGGACATTGACATGACTTGTACCAGCTTCACATCATTCCTGTCTGAAGGAGGTCAAAATACCTGGTTGTTCCTGTGCTGTTGATGCAATCCCTTCCTCTGGGGCTTCATCACTTCCTTCCCCCATCAAGGATGCCTTCTCTGAACTTTTTTTACATCTCCCCTTCCCTAAAGATCCAGGGAACACTCTGGGTCACTGCGCAAACATATTTGTTATTCCTTATGCTCTGTAATCCTTATATTGACCACCCCAAGTGCTAATACTTATCTAATGCTGAGTTACTAGTATATTATCATTGTAACATACTGCAAAATGATTAATATATGATAATTTAGAACCATTTCTCTCCTGCATATTCTAAGTAAAAGTGTTATTGGGGGTTGAGGATATAGCTCAGCAGCAGAGCAGGTTATTCATTCATACTTCTTTATGGATAACCAAGGACCTGAGAAAAAAACAAAAAGCAGGAAACAAGGTAACAGTATACATACAATCTTGCTGGGAGTGATGGCACATGCCTGTAATCCCAGTGACTCAGGAGGCTCAGGCAGGAGGATTGGGAGTTGAAGAACAGCCTCAGCTGGTCATTCATGAATATATATATATATATATAGGCAGGCTGGGAATGTGGCTCAGTGGTTAAGTGCCCTTGGATTCAATCCCCAGTACCTACCAAAAATAAATAATAAAAAGTGTTATTAACTGCTAAAAAACTAATAGTTCATAAAACAATATCTATTTTGGAAGAATTATATAAACAAAAGGATAAACATTGCCTATGGAGGAAGGAAAAAGGGATCGGGCTATGGTGATAAAAGAGGTAATTTACTTTTCTCTCTCTATGTCTTCCCCCGCCCTCTTTTCTCTTTCTTAAAATTTTAAAATTTTGCTGTGCTGGGGATGGAGCCCAGATTTACTCACATGCTAGGCAAATCTCTAGAATTGAGTTATATCCCCAGCCCCTAGGTAATTTTTTTTTTTTAAAGAGAGAGAGAGAATTTTTTTTTAATATTTATTTTTTAGTTTTTGGCGGACACAACATCTTTGTTTGTATGTGCTGCTGAGGATCAAACCCGGGCCGCACGCATGCCAGGCGAGTGCGCTACTGCTTGAGCCACATCCCCAGTCCCAGGTAAATATTTTTTAAAGTAAAATTCCAGTGGAACCTTGAAAAAAATGAGTAAAAAAGAAAAGGGAAGCCTCCTAGGACTGCAAAATGATTAACCTAAGCTAAGGCCAAGAAGCAGGAGTATCTGAGTAGATAAAGGTGAGAAGTATGATATCTGATTTGGATTGGAGAGGCATAGGAAAACAAACTGGGAAGTGATGCTGAAAGAGAACTGGGTAAGATTATAAAGGTCTTGAAACCAGAAAAAGATCTTTTTTTTTTTTTTTTAGTTGAGCCCAGGGGTGTTTTACCACTGAGGTATGTAGAGGTATTGGAAAAAATATTTGATGAATACTGGCAAAATACAGACATTAACAGAAGAGAATAAGTTAAGGAGTGCTACAAGATTTTAAATAGGAAGTTAGGAGTTGGGCACTGTGGCACATGCCTATAATCCCAGAAACAAACACAGGCTGAGGCAGGAGGATCACAACTTTAAGACCAAGCCTGGGTTTTCTTTTTTGTAGGTTGGGATCCAACTCAGGTGTAGGGCAGACCCAAGATGGCTTCCTCACCAAGACTTTCAGTGAGCTGATTTAAGTATGTAGCCAAGGTCATAAATACCCTGTTCAGTATATGTACTCAAGGTCATAAACAGCTGCATGCTCACTTATGTAATTTGTTGGCATCAAAGCTTCTTTGTTTGGCCTGCATATAATAAAGGCCTATGGAAAAATGGAGTTGGGGCAGAGGGCTGCAGTTCTTCTGAATAAAATGCAGCATTCTGGCTGGGCACAAATCACCGAGCAGCCACAAAAGCACTTGTATGTTCAAACAGGAAACTTTATTCCATGCACACTCCCTGGGAACTCTCTCTCCCTCCACCGGGCTCCTACCGTGCTCTCCCCACCGAACTCCACCAGAACTCCAAAGTAGCAGGCGCCCAGGCAGCAAGAACCGCCCTATTGCACACATTTTAGAGTTAACCAGAAACCTTTTCCAGATGACAAAAGGGAGGACTAAAAAAGGTTTTGGTAATTGCCCAAAGTCAACCTATTAACTGGTGAAAGAATGATCTAGAACAAAGTTTTTCTTTCTTTCTTTCTTTTTTAAAAAAATCTTCCTCCAGTGCTGAGGATCATTCCCAGGGTCTTGAGCATGCTAAGCACGCGCTCCACCATTGATTGAGCTGTACCTCCCAACCCAGAACCATGTCTCTTAAATCCTAGTCCACTGAACTTTCTTAAGCATGTTATTTGAGGGGGCTTAGAAAATCAAGGCAATTTTCAATTCAGTTTTCTTGATTTGCTTGACAATAGTGGCCAATTTTTAACTAAGAGAATTCAGTCATTTTGTGACCAGCCCCTGCCAGCTCAGTTTCAAACCATATGTATATAAACTGTCTAGCTGACTGGACTTCTAAACAAAAACTTTTGTGTTTGTTTTACTAGTATTCACTTCTATATGACTGGACAGAGAGGACTGTCACTGATAGCCAGTTTTTTGTTTTTTTCTTTCTTTTTTTTTTTGGTAACAGGGATTGAGGCACTTAACCACTGAGCCACATGCACCTGCGCTCCACCCCCTCCCTGCTTTTTTTGTATTTTGTTTAGAGACATAGTATCACTGAATTGCTTAGGGCTTCACTAAGTTGCTGAGACTGGCTTTGAACTTGTGAATCCTTCTGTGATGGCCAGTCATATCAGGCAATATTTTCATACTTCTTTATGGATAACCAAGATAAACAAGTGAGTTTCAGGAGTAAACTCTGTCTCAGCCTCCTGAGCAGCTGGGATTAAAGGCATGTATCACCATGCCTGGCAGTGCCATTTTTTTCAGAGTAAGCATCTGTCAGTGTTTTCTACCTTGGGGTTGGCCTTCCTGTCCTTGGCCATGCTCCTGCTCATGATCTTAATAGAACATGGTGCCCACCTGAACAAAGTTCTTCAATTGGGGTCCTAGTGGTGCAGACCACAGTAAGATTCCATGCTTCTTTGCCCAAGATGCTATTTCTCTTCAAGCTGCATTTGGCTCCTATAATTCCCTTGATAACCATATCCCATTACTGCCTTAGCTCTATGAAAATTTCTAGGAAGTTTTCTAACCAACAAGTTCTAAGTCTTCTACAGTTTGCATTTGTGTAGACCTTTTTTTAAAAAAAAATTCAAGAGCTAAGTTTTTATTAACTGAAAGTCTACAATGTGCTAAGTATTATGTTGAGTTCTGTGGACATAGGGATGACTAGGAAAGTGTCAACATACTAGAAATGTAAGCACCACAAGGTCTGTCTTGTCTACAAATGAATTCCCATTTATTGAGATAATGTCTGCACATGGTGTGTACTCACTATTTATTGAAAGAACCAATGTGTAAAATAGTTTACAGCTGAGGTTTTGCTGTAAAAGGCATTTTACTAATTCAGTTATTTTATAAATTCAGATATTTTGTACCAGCTCATCATAAGTTTCCTTTAGCCAAATCCTAAGGTTTTTGTTTTTATCCTAAGGTATACCAAATTTCCAAAATAAACTGTATGGTCTCTTTTTATGACCAAAGAAAATACTTATATGCTTTATTTGCTGGGTGGTTATTGTATTTCACCACTGAAGGACTTCTCACTTCAGTCAGTGCAGGACATACATCTCAGGCTTAGGAATAGCAGGCTTTACTTTCTAAGCGCTAAACACCGAGAATTTCCTGAGCTGAGTTTTAACTGCTCCTGACTTACTATGGGGGAGGAAAGGTGTGAGAAAGGTATGAGAGAATTGCTTAGGAGGATCTTGAAATTCTGCAGTAATCTGTGAGCTGCTGCCACGTGCCCATTGGATCTGAAACTATAGGTCTCAATCCTCCCGCAGGTGACAGGTATTTGAAATGTGGGAGCGTATATGTTTCTAAAACCATCGTTAGGGCGGCCTGAGGAATTCCGAGTCTTCCGTTTCTCCTCGTATCTGGGTTACAGGTGAGGCATTGGTCGCCATCTTGATATCAAATGCCCCACAAGCCGCCACTAGCGTCTCCCGGTAACCACGGAGACACGCATGCCCCGCCCTCCCCTCATCTATAAACTACAATTCCCACCAGCGGATTTCCTCGCCCAAACTACAAGTCGTCTAGGTTTGGCTTGCCGGCTACCGCAACCCTGCCGCAGTGATCCGCGGGAGTTGCGGTTCGTGGCGTGGCCTCGCCTTTCTCCGAGGGACGCTCCAGAACTACAAGTCCCGTGAGCCAGCGGGTCACGCGCGTGCGGAGCCGCTGGTCCTTCTCGTCACCCCGGCTTGAGCCCGTGAGGTAGGAGAGGGCGGGGGGAAGGAAGAGGAGGCGGGATCCCTGCGCTGCGTTGGCTGCGGCCTGGCACCAAAGGGGCGGCCCCGGCGGAGAGCAGACCCAGTGGCCCTGGCGATTATGGACCCGGCCGAGGCGGTGCTGCAGGAGAAAGCGCTCAAGTTTATGGTGAGGAGACGGTGCAGGCAGGGGAACGACAGAGGCGGTGGCGTTGGAGACGTTTCTGAGCTTGGGCCTGGGCCGCTAGTCCACAGCGGGAGCGGGCAGAGGGACCCTTGGCCAAGGCTGGCGGCGGGGCGGCTGGAGGGACGGGACCCGAGCTCCAGGGAGGAGGCTGGGGGTGACGGAGGGGACCCATAGGTGGGGGCAGCTGCTCCGCCATCTTGTGGAAGAGAGGCCAAGTGACAGCAGGAGTTTATTGGAGGAGGGGGCTCCAGGCGGCGCGCGGGGCCCTGGAGGTAAAGGGGCGTGGGGACAGTTATCGAAGAGCTGAGGAAGCCTGGTGGAGAGGCGTCGCGGGGCCACTGCCAGGGCCTTCCCCGTGTCAGGGTTACGGGTAAGGCCGAGGAAAGGAGGTGCATTCGGGAGTGGGGAATGGAAGCGAAGCATGGGAGAGTGGGAAGACAGATATTGGGGTGGGAGGTGGGGGGGACCGGCAGGCTGGATGCCTATGGGTTTAAAGGAGGAGGAAGGAAAGTCAGGGTCAGGGGGAGGCTTGTAATTTTGTAGAACAAGGTTAGATAGCCTTTGCCTTGAGGATGGAATTCCAGCTCGTCCAAACTAATGTTGACAAACTCTAGAAAGGAAGGGGCCTTACTTAGGGAAGACAAGGACTGGGGACCTAGGGCTATGATGACAGTACTTGGGGGAGGTATGGTGTGTTGATTGTGAGCCAGAATTACAAAGATCAGGAAAAGGGACACGCACACTAGTTTGAAAGGGGGAGGCTAAAGTATTGTAGTAAGTTGGAGGTGATGAAAAGAGGCTAACTGGTCAGGGATACATGGGTACAGGGGATTGGACAAAACTAATATCTAATAGGGTAAAAATCAAACCAAAACAAAAAACTTGTGCGGTAGTAAAATTTTGGAGACCCGGTGCAGTATATCACTTTCAGGAAAATGCAAGGAATTGGAGGTTAGAGTTGCAAAGACCCAACAGAAGTAATGAGATTTATGGAGAAATTCAGGAGATGCAAATGGGGGATGTAGGTAGTGGGAAGTGTGAGATATCAGTTGGTGGTTATCCATCAGTTTTACATTCAAAAGTGTGAGCATAGATTACATTTTGTGGGTGTTTAAACCCCTTCCAACCTCTTTAACTTTGTATCATGCTTTTCTTTTGCTGTGGTTATATATGGCAAACTTGTATATGTAGTCTGATATTTGATGCTTTTAATCTGATGCTTTTTGTATATCCCAGGTTTAAAGCCACTCTGTGTTATATCTAAATAATGGTGGAATGCACACTTTTTTTTTAATGTTTTTTTTTCTTTTTTAAGAGAGAGTGAGAGAGGGGGGAGAGAGAGAGAGAGAGAGAGAGAGAGAATGAGAATTTTTTAATATTTATTTTTTAGTTCTCGGCGGACACAAAATCTTTGTTGGTATGTGGTGCTGAGGATCGAACCCTGGCCGCATGCATGCCAGGCGAGCACGCTACCGCTTGAGCCACATCCCCAGCCCCGGAATGCACACTTTTAGCTTACCAGGTGGCTTTAGGGACGTTTATATTTGCAGTCAAGTCCTGCTTTTTCAGAAGTAATTGTGACCTGCCACTTTAAATCTTATTCCTTTAAGTAATTAATTAATAAAAAATCGTGTCTTCACCTAAAGTACCATAATAAACTAAACATGGATACCAACCCAATTGAATTTAGGCTTTAAACTTACCCATTTACAAGGATATTTTTGTAGAAATTGGTAAAATATAAACTTTGTTTATATCTGTACTTTTGAAAACACTTAATGAAAGTTTAAATGTATTATTGAGCTGGAAGATATTTTTTTGAATTTCTGCCAAATGTTGAAATTTAAAATAATAAGAGACCTTGAAATTATTTTGGATTTTAGAAATAAGTGAAAGTTGCCTGATAGCTATAGCAGACTTCTAGATTTAAGTTAGAAAAGTAGCAGCTTCTTACTTTGTTTTTCTGTTTAGAGGATTGAATCTTAATCCTAATCCTGACACTTATGTCAGAGTTACAGAATAATGTGACTTACAGATCATAAAGAAACATTATGAGATCATCCCCATCATTCCGCATTAGACCTCAGTCTAGGAACATTCTCAGCTACTTGATCTTTGCTTTGTACCATTGAGTTATGCTTTGATAATGGCCTCCTGACTGAGTTAAAGTGGACCTGGAGATGGTGGTGTAATTTGCAACTTTTGGCACACCATACATTATTAAATATTGAGTCAATTTCCATAGGGAGAAGCCAACTTTTTCTATAATTTTAGTTATTTTCATTTTTGATCTTGCCTCCTGTAGTGGCTTTTGCTTGGAAAAAAAAGTCAACTGGAGGAGGGTCACCAAGAATGACACTTTAGTAAGAAAAACAGAATGGAGTTAGAGATTTGGTATTCTCTTTCAGCTCAGTTACAGACTTATTATGAATCTGAGTAAGTTACAACTTTCCTTTGGTGCCATTTTCCCTGATATAACATGCTTATTTTTTCAGAGTTGATTTTGAGGTAGGACGATATTTATATTTGAGCTTTCCTCTAAGTAGCCAGTGTAAAGTATACATAGAAGGGTTATCATTTTAATCAAATTGATCTTTTTTCATAGTATTGGCTTTGTTCTGGCTTTGTTTATCCTTTCCTTCAATTGTGAGTTAGCTAATAACAACTTTGGTACAGATGCCTTGATTTTTCCATACTTTAAAAAAATATAACCAGGCGAGGTGGCACCCTGCCTAGAATCCCAGCAACTCAGGGCTGAAGCCTCAGCAGGAGGATTGCAAGTTCAAAGCCGACCTCAGCAGTTTAGTGAGGCTCTAAGCAACTAAGCAAGACCCTGTCTTTAAATAAAATATTAAAAAGGGCTGGTGATGTGGCTCAGTGGTTGAGTGCCCCTGGGTTCAATCTCTGGTACCTAAATAAATAAATAAATAAATAGTTTAGAATGCTCACATGAAATGGATATCTCATGAAAATGTGCATCACCACATTAATGTGGTGCTTTGATTAGGACTTTTACTATGAAATCTTATTAATGAGATTGCTAATTTGGAGTTGAGCATACATTATTATGTATGACCGTAATTATACATGACATAAAACTAGCCAATGAGTACTTGTGAAGAGTGGTATAAGCAGATTGTTTATATCAGTTGGGTGATTGGATCCAAGAGGCACTTTACCAATGAGCTACCCCACCAGCCCTTTTTATTTTTTATTTTGGAACAGGGTCAGGCTACATGGCTGAGGGTCTTGCAAAATTCCTGAGACTAGCATCAAACTTGTCATCCTCCTTCCTCTGCCTCCTGAGTTGCTGGCATTATAGGTAGACAGCTATTACTACTACTTCTTGTTTAGATTAACTTCTAAGAAAAAAATAAATGATTTGAAAGGAGTAGTTTAGGGCTGGACTTGTAGCTCAGTGGTAGCACTCTTGCCTGGCATGTGTGAGGTACTGGGTTCAATTCTCAGCACTGCATAAAAAATAAATAAATAAAAGTCCGGGGCTGGGGATGTGGCTCAAGCGGTAACACGCTCACCTGGCATGCGTGCGGCCGGGGTTCGATCCCCAGCACCACATACAAAACAAAAGATGTTATGTCCACCGATAACTAAAAAATAAATATTAAAATTCTCTCTCCCTCTCTCACTCTGTCTTTTAAAAATAAATAAATAAATAAATAAAAGTCCATTGACAACTAAAAAAAATTTTTTTTTTTTAAAGAGTAACTGATGTGATTCTGCAATCTGTATATGGGGTAAAAATGGGAGTTCATAACTCACTTGAATCAAAGTGAAATATGATATATCAAGAACTATGTAATGTTTTGAACAACCAACAATAAAGAAAAAAAGACAAAAAAAAAAGAGTAGTTTACATGAAATAACTTATGTGCTAACCTCTTTCATCCTGCTTTATCAGGCCCTCAAGAACCTTTCCTAAAAGTAATTTCCCTGGTCAGCCATTCTTAAACCTCAGAAAGGATAATCAGGAACTGGAAGAGGACCTGGGTAGGAAAATGAAAATGATCCACGAAATATAAACCCAGTTATATATATATGGGTTCCATTCCCCATTTATTTTTAAAAAGCTGAGGAAGAAATTGATGTTTGTTTATTTATTTATTAGTACTGGGGATTGAACCCAAATGATTAGGAGTGATTAACTACAGAGTCACATCCCAAACCTTTTATTTTTTTTTTTATTTTGAGACCGGGTCTTGCTGAGTTGCTTAGGGCCTCACTAGTTGCTGAGGATGGTCTCAAACTTGCCATCCTCCTCCATATTTTCTCGACTCACTGGGATTATAGGCATATGCATGGCTTTTCGTTTATTTTTTAATGGATAAATATATTCTTGTCCAATCAGACCAGAATCAAACAGAGAAACACTTGAAATGGAGATGAAATAATTTTAGGACATACAAAAATAATTTGTGATGCTGGGATTGAACCAAGGGCCTAGGGCATGCTAGGTAAGCACTTTACCACTGAGCTAATTTCCCAATTCTCATAAAGTTTTTTATGGAGTTGACAAGTAAAATGATATAAAAGATAAATATATTGCTGTGTAACAAACCACCCTCAAATTTAGTAGCTTAAAAAAATCAAAATTTATTTATTTATTTTTTTGGAGGTAGTGGAGTGTGAATAGGTTCAATAGCTCTACCACTGAGTAACATCCCTAGCCCTTTTTATTTTTTATTTTGAGATGGTCCTGCTAAATTGCCTAGACTGGCCTCAAATTTATGATTCTTCTGCTTCAGATCACGAGTTGCTGGAATTATAGACATGTGCCACCATGCCTGGCAAATTTGGTGGTTTTTATACTTCACATGCTGTTGGCTGGTGCCTTCGTGTTTGGAACTTACAAAATGGCCACATTCACATGACTGATCACTGCCTGAGAGTTCAGCTAGGGCTAAAGGCCTTCTCTGTGCTATATGAATCTCTCCTTTTGCTCCTTGGGTTTCCTTAAATCATGG